CTAGCTACCAGGTATTTCTATGTACATTACCTTATTTAAACCCCAAAACAATCCAGCAAGGTAGACGGTATACCCCATTTTACAGAAGAGAAAACTGAGGCTCAGAGAAAGTAAGACACTTGTTCAACAAAACCAAGTAAGTGGTGGCACAGAATTCAAATTCAGGTCTGACTTGAAAGATGGTGACGGGTGCGAGTTCTCCACTCGACCATACCACTTTCAAAACATAGGGGAGAAAACTAAGATAGACTATCTCCCTATTTTGAAGATTAGAAAACAGAATTTAAAGAGTGGGCCCAACCAAAAGCTGATGTGTTCCACTATCCCAGATCAAAGTGCTTCTCCATCATTATGGCCCAACAGCTGAAGAAAACCTTCTACAGAGCCTTCCTAGGTCCAGTCCGCAGGGAGCTTCATTTGCTAAATCAGTATTTCTCAAAGAAAAACATGAAATATCTGCCTTGCATTTGGACACATGCAGAAAAGTGCCTTATGTTTGCTCTCCCCAAGGCTGAGCAAGTGAAAGCTCAGCCTTCACTTTGTTAAGTCAGAGCAAGTGAAAGGTAGCTAATGTGAGTAATGCAGTGACTCAACCAAACTCCAGATTGTTGCCAAAAAGCAAACCTCATCTGAATGAAAACAGCAGGTGAGAGTGCTGAGGAAAGAGGCTAACACAATCACTCCATCCACCAGCCCTGCCACTGATGTGGGCAAGGCCCCAGGGGCAGTGAGGCCAGAGGGGCTGGGCACCAGGCTGATCAGACCCTCACGGGTCCCAGCCTCACAGGGAGGGAGACTAAACGCAGGTGACCCACTTGCCCTGCTTGGCCAAGGGTGACCGAGCAGAGCAGAGGGAGAAGCTAACGGCTGAGGAGCAGGCGCTGAGGCTTGAAGCCCCAGGCGGAATGCAGGAACTCAGGGAAACGAGAGGGGAGCCACAGCAGCAGTTTTCTAGTTACCGCAGGCCCCTTCCCCATGTACCTACCACAAACTACTGAAAATCAGATTCCATTTCAAAAGAAACATAGGAAACAGGCTAAAATATTTTTTTTTTAAATCCAGGAAGTAAAACTTAATCATTTTTTCTGTGCTTCTTAAAAAGTAAGCTAATTTGTTGGACATCTTTTCATAGCGTTTTTCTTTTCTGAATTTAAATGATTTTAGAACTCACAATAGTAAATTATACATATAATATGGCCCTCTCTTTCCCCCCATTTCTGCCACTCCTAAGCTTTTCAGACATTCTAGGAAAAGCGCCCAACCTTTCCAGAATTAGTATGGATTTTTAAAATGAACACAAAACCCACTGAAGCTGCATTTTCCCATTCCCAGATAAGCCAAAGGCAGATGGGCTGAAGCAGAAAGCAGTCAGGGTGATGAGAGGAGCCTGAGGGGACAAGAGTGGAAGCCGGAGAGGACTGAAGAGGAAGTGCAGCTTGGAGAAGTGATGCAGAGAAACCCTGGCAGTGAAGTACACACCTTGGCATTGATATAAGGGTCAAAGGGGCCGTACTTTTTGAGTTCTTTGATCTCAAGAGCATTCTACAAAAAGGAGAGGAGAAGAAAATGTGACGATAAAACGGATGAAATATATCAAAGCAATGCACAGCCCTTAGGAGGCCCAACACTACAACTCGGATGGACATGCCCTCTGGGTGCCTCAATAGGAAGTTAACGGGAAGACGGTCTTAGGGCTTGGCATTCATCACCCCCGTTTATCCAAGCATCCAACTAGAACCACAGTTAATGGTTTTAAATAAATCAGTGTAGTACTTGTAACTACTACCCAGATCCATTAGGTTCTTCAAGCTATTGCAGCCGTCATGCCCAGCCCCTGCCCCACCCGCCTGCCTATGAGATACTCAGAGATATTCAGAGCGCGGGCTGCTGTTCCACCCATTAGTAGAGATGCCAGGCGGGAGGGAGGCGGCTGTGAGCAGGACACACTAGCACACTCAAGTGGCTCAAAACTCCAAGCAGCTGTGTTCCAAGGCAAACGTGAGCAAAGACAGGATGAGAAATGGTTCCTGAAAATTTCTTAAATGAAAAGTACTTTAATGGGTGACTAAGTTTTTTCAACATCAAGGGCTATGACTTAAAAGTCAACTTCCTTATAAATTTCCTCCAGATAAGAGAAATTATAGTCGCTTTAGCAAGGAGGAGTAAATTGCATTTAGGTTCTAAAGAGGCAATTCTAAAGACACCATCTTCATTTCTAATGTTATAAAACAAGCATCCCCGTTGATGATCTTAAATGTCTGTTGCTTACCTACCCAGAAAATACAGCCCAATAGAGGGCAGGGAAGCTGATTAACAGCTATCCACACAATCTCTAAATAGGGACATGTGGGAGCACAGCTTCCATTTTCTCACACCTCAGAGTGAAGGCGCCCTCCTCTGGGTCAAAGTCATACTCTTGACAGCCCACTGAGAATGTGCATGGTCTTGCTGACAGATGGCCTTGCAAGAATGATCTACTTTCTGAGGAATACCCCTGATCTAATTCCACAGGGAATTTCACAGTCTCCTCTCAGCAAAATCATTAGGAAAACAGTCCAAAACTTAGTGAGAAAGAGCAGCATCTCTTTCATTCAAGCAACTAAGAAAAAGTAGCTGCTTTGGTTCAGAGCAGGGAGAGAAACAGGAGAATGGCTTGTCATATGCGGAAAGCCCATCTCCTCAGACCCAAACTACAGGGAGTTGTATTCTATAAGGGGCTTCTCTAGAACATGCATAATTCAAGTATAACTTTTCCAAGGTAATAAATGTAAAGAAGAGGACGTAAGTCTCAGAGTGCCTAAGCCATGGCCACTGTAAGGCATTTCTGCTCAAATGCTGCCTCTTTTATTTTCTAAGAATTATCTCTGCTTTGTCAAAGCATGGTCACGCTTAATCAACATTAGAGGACAGCTTCGTTCTGTGGAATCCCTCCTGGCCTCCACTCGCGTGTCTGTGAGCTCACTTTCCAGCACCCACTCGAGCACTGCCACGCCTGCGAGTTCTGATGCACGTAGAACAACAGCACGGTTCACGCAGTACAGACATGCACCAAGGAGCGTTTCTGTTTACCAGCTAAAGTTGCATTGCCAGGTCGATGGCATAAGTACAATTTGCAATTAATTAAGCCTGCCAATTTGAAATGGACTCTCAGCAATTTTGCAGGATTTGCATTATTTCAAATCTTGCACGTGGGGTTAGTATTTACATTTTTATGATAGCGCCATTCCAAATCTGCATGACTCAAATGCATCTGAAATGCATCCTCACAGAGTGAGGTCTCCCCGATGCACTAAGAGGAGGGGAGTCACTCTTAGGGCATGGAAGAGCTGGCTCCCTGAGACTCGACTATGGGACCGAGATGGCGACGGGGCTGCTGAGGTCTTGGCTGCGGCTGAACTGAAGAACGCATCCCTTCCTTCCAACCTGTTCATTGACTCTGGTGTGTGAGGGCCCTTGATGGATGAGCAGCCGTACTATCTGGGCATCTCCTTTCCAGGCTGCTAAGTGCAGCGGGTAACAGCCTTTAGAATCAGCCACATTGGTCAGTGCATCGTTCCTCAGAAGAACCTCGACTACATCCCTGGAAGGCAAAAATCCACCATGAGTTTGCAGAACGCAGAAGCATTTCCTACTAACAGCTCTTTACATGTGTACAGCAAGCACAAAGTCCTTTCACAGCCATGATCACATTCAGCCCCCATCTCTGCCTGAGCTCACCGCCCAGCCTCTTCCTTTCATTTCGTGAGCTACTTGGACGACCGTGGCCGGGCCGCTGAGGCATTTTGAGCCACGCCACGATGACTCTTCACCTCCCCGTGTATCTAGGCTTTCTAGATAATCCACCCATTTTCCATTACTTTGAAAGTGTCTGGTCCGCTTGTCTAAACCTTGCAATGCTTCCTTGTTTGTGATCCTTAAACAGCATTCAGGGATATGATTTACATAAAAGAAGTCATGCAACACAAATAGCATCATTCATCACATTATTCAGAGCATTTAGTGATGTGGGGGCTAAAGGTGGGCAGACAGGGCAGAATTCAAGTTGTTGCAAACATAAGCCAGACACATGTATTGTTTGATACCTCCAGGAAGAAGGCCTCGGCGTTCTTCTTGGTGACACCACTAATTAAGCAGATACAAATGTATCGTTATTCCCATGTACATAAGGCTGAAGAAAACCCCCACTGTAAATAAAAACAACATCTGGAGGTCAACTTGGCTAACAAGCTATGGTCTTTTAAATTCAAGATTCACTTCAATTCAGGTTCCCCCACTGTTGAAGGGGGGCGGGGTCCCTACCTATTTCTTGTTAGCGTTGTCTGAAATAGCTATAGAAAAGAAGTAATGATCACTTTTAATATATTTCAGAAAGGTTTAATGTAGAAGGTAACAACCACCCCCTCACTTTTGGCACATCAGTCAATCAGGCTGGGCCAAATATTGCACAAGATACGGAATCCCACCAAGTGGCAAGAGCCCTGGCTCTTTGCTCAGAAAATCTAAAATGTTCCAAAAATCCCTCCTTATAAAAACTAAACTCTACTGCTCATCTCTTATAGTATTATGCCTCATCTCTCTTTAACACTCTACCCTCTTACACTCTGGTTTCCATTCTTACACATCCTAGCACACCTACTCACTGTACTCCACAACTGTGCCTGCCCCTTCACCCAGCCACCACGTTCTCCCTCACCTGAGGGGCAGCACCCTCTTTCAGCTGCCAATCATTTGCACCTCTGCCTTCTTCTCTTAAACTCCCCGCAAAGCACACTTTCTCCAGAAAATGTCCCACCCAAATACCACCCAATTTGTAACAGCCTCTCTGTACATAAGAGAATTGAATAGGCCATATTATTTATGTATTTCTTAGGCCATATTATTTATGTATTTCTTCTCTTAAAAATGGTTCTTGTCTACAAGGTTAATGTTATGAGGAAAAAAATGGCAAGCAAAAAGACAGAGTAAATACAAAACTACTTTCACAGAGGGAAAGTTTCTCATGACCACTCGATCTATTTTCAGTTTATAAAGCAGCTAGTTACCGAATAAATTACCCAGCCCCTCTATGATCTGGCTGTCCCAAATTAGATCATCATATTCAGATGATTGTGTGGCATTGTCCCATTTCTGAAGGGAAAAGGACAAACAGAAGAAAAGGTAAAACTTAATCTCTAGTTCAAGTATTTTTGGGGGTGGGGAAGGATGTTTAAATTATACACTAACAGGAGACTCAGGAATCTGAATGGACTGGATTTAGTTTGTTTTCCTCTGTTCCTCAACGCGACTGCTTAGCAATTCTTTATAGGAACCGAAAAAGACTATCCAAAGGCCGGGGTTCTGAGGGGGAGGCTGGGAGGCGGCGCCCCAGTACTTACTTATGGCCATTCAAAGCAGCGTGGTGCAGAGGGGTATACCCCGTGCTGTCAACACAGTTCACATTGGGCCCTCTCCAGATGCTACAGAGAGAAGAAGAAAAAACAAAGTCACAAACCAAATTTAGAAACAGCTGGCTGCCTGGAAAAGCATTTGGATGATGTTAAATCAAACTACTTCCACATGGCTTCTGATAAAGGACAGTAACAATTTACCACAGAAATGCAAAGTACCAAGGGTACACGATGGTTTGCTGAACAAGGACTCGAGTGTCAAGACAACGGTGTCATCATTTAAGAGCGTGTCCTTCTGCACCCTTCTCATCTGGAACGCCATTAATCACTCGGTCTGGGACGTGTGCCTCTGAATCCTCCCAGGGTTGTAAAAACAGCTCTTTGAAAGGTCATCAAAAATATCACTGAACCAAACCACCCAGCCAACCACAGGTAATGAGCAGCCACCTCAATGCTGGCGACTGAAGGCTTGAGAGAGAGCTCCACATAGACCAGAGAGAAAACCAGGACAATTCAACCACAAGGGCCAAGATCAAAGAACCCACATACATAAAAGCACCGGGGTATTTGTGTTAAGATGCAAGAGGCAATTTTGTCTTTCCTTTGTGAATGTCTTATTGAGAATAAAAACTAACAGAATTTACAATTTGAGAGCCTTATTTGAATCAGAAATACCATACTAGGAAGGCTGAAATGTCATCTTATTTAATCTCAAATTCTTGTTTCTGTTTCATACCTTGCTGCATTAGCCAAGGCTTCTAAATTACTATGAAGTAGCCGAGGGCAGCCTTGTTTTTAGTGTAAATACCTCTAAGGTTGGCAGTTGGTTTGAGAGAGACACTCTGTAATATGTAAAAGAAGAATCTTTTTCCCCCCCCGTTTAAAGTGTTATTAAAAAGTTGTTTAATTTAAATGCATTTTCTGTATCTATGGAAATAATCATAGTTTTTCACATTTAACCAATTAATATGTTGTTATCAATAGGTTTCTTAATATTGAGCCATTCTTTCATTCCTGGATTAAACCAAAAACCTTATTTAGCCTTTCTCCATTATGACTATGTTAGTGAATTCTACCTGACAGTATTTTATTTAGGATTTTCACATCTGCATTCATAAGTGAGGCTGGTCTAAAATTTTTGCTTTTTGTACTATTGTTATTGGATTCTATTAGTGTCAGTTTTGGATCATGATCATCTGGGTAGCTATCTATCCACTTCTATATTCAGGGATCAATGACATAGAGCATAAACATTATCAAGAATCACACAGTGAAACCATCTGGGCCCAGAGCTTTTATGCTCAGATGTTGGAAGCAGCATTATTTACAACAATAAAATTTTGGAAATAGCCCAAATGTCTATCACAATAGAGAAATGATTATGGTTAACTAAGATATAGACACATAGTGAAATTTTATATACCAGTTATATTACTACGTAGTAAAACAGAGTAAAGATTACAACATTAAGGTTCAGAAGAAAAAAAGAAACAAAACTGTTAATACTGTAGAGAAAGAGTAAATGAGGGAAATTTATCAGGATAGTAGTTTGAATGTACAAGTTTAATCCATCCGTCTAAAGTTCTATGAAGTGAAAGAAACAATTCCCACTCTACACCATAGCTAGAATAGAAGATGGATGAATGGATGGATAGATAGATAGATAGATAGATAGATAGATAGATAGTCTCGGCCCAAGAAAATAAGAAAAGTTGTCATCAAGTAACAGGTAATATCAAAGAATTCCTAAAAGGCAGAAATCAGGCAAGGTCAGATCTACAGAGATACAACCCAGAAGAATGCAAATTAAAATTATCACATGCTGGGGCCAGCCGAGTGGCGCGTTGGTTAAGAGTTGGCTTGGAACACCAGCTCTGAGCAGCAGGGTCCTGGTTCGGATCCCACATGAGGACCAGTGATGCTGCACCCACTACAGCTAACATGGTGAACAACAGTTCGACCTAGAGCTGGGCTGCCGTGAGTCGCTGGCGATGGCATAGGCTGCAGTAGGGCTGCTCGGTAGCTAACATGCGCTTTCATGAGCTGCTGTGAGCTGCCTTAAACGGCTGTCCAATGGCCGGCGAGCGGCTGCCTCACCCGGGAAGAGCACAATGATAATACCAACATGGGCCAGTGAAGCGACGTCCTCCACAACTAGACTGAAGAACAAAAGGACAGCAACT